GGAGAAAGAAATCAGAAACAAAGCGTGTATATTCTGTGGTGGGACAATCTGAATTGCTTTCTGTCTTTCCTTTGGCTCCTGCTTTCATCACCAAGGCAGAACTCTGGCCCTGGCTCCCTCAATATTTAACTGAAAGGTAACAATTTGCTCCCTTATGACTTGGACATCCTCTAGATTAGGAATATGGGTAAAAATTGCCTAATTTTATTTGTAAAATCATTGTAGCTTTTTAATAGTACCTTGAAAGGATAGCAGCTTGGAGATTACTCACTCTACTCCTTTTCTTTTAAAATATTTTTATTGATGTCTTTCATTTTTGCATCACCTTCATTTCTGAATGTCCTTCTCCCTCTTTTATCTATTGAGTTATTTCTTGTCACAAAGAATAAAAAAGAAAGGGGGAGGGAATGCAATGCATTGAAACCCACTGAGACCTCAGTAAAGTCTGACAATATATGCAGTGTTCAAAACCTACAGTTCCCCATATCTTTCTTAGAAGGAAGGGAGGTTCATTTTCTTATTTCTCTTCTGAAGGCTAAGTTTGGTCATTATAATTACTTAGAATTCAGTGACTCTGGTTCTTTTTCAAAAGAGAAAACTCCTTGACCTGGAAAATGAGACATATTACATCTTGGTTTATTGAACATAAAGAATTCTTGCATGTAGTAATATAATGAAATGAAATGCTAGACTACCACCATCAAAACTTTTTAACCGCTGGTCATAACAGATTTTTGCAGCTATCCATATAAATGGATCTCAATGCCTCCAAACATAAGAGGGGCTTTATGCAAGAAATTCTAATCAGTTATCCTCCATGTTTCACAGAGGTCCAAAGATAAGTAAATCAATTTACAATTAAGAAGGAGAGATTTCAGGTTACTATCACCTTGATGGAATCCTGAAATAGGCTGGAGTAAGGAAGTGACATGGTTAGATGTGCCTTAAAGAATTCAACTTGGCAGATGAGTGGAAGATGCATATAGAAGGGAAGAAAGTTGTCAAGTCACATCTAAGAAATGGTCAGATCTTTACTATTCTATCCTTGTAGAACTGGTCAGAGATAGGAAAGAATCACTGAAATTTTGTAATAACCAGTCCCTCCCAGAATCATACCAGGCATTTCTCCATTAAGGATGGCACTGTCTGGGAAAAGAGTAAATATAGCAACTTGTCATGCCTTGAGCAAGGCATGACTTTATTTACATGGACCGGTTTTTTTGTCTGAGTGTATATATACAGAATGGTGCAATGGAAGAAAACTGATTTGGATTCAAATATCTGGGTTGAATCTTTAGCTTTGCCACTTACTACATATGGGACCTTAGGGGAATGATTTTAAATTCCTGGACCTCCTTTCCCTTATTTGTAAAATAAGGAAGCTTGTATAAAAAGATCCCTGAGATCTCTTATCTAAATCTTGAATCTATGTTTCTACCTAGATCAGAAACAGAGATGAATTAAAAAGATCAGAATAGTGACAGATTGACATTATTGGGGCTGTGCTAGTTTATATTTAAACATAAAATATTTTTTATCTAGGGTTATATGCTTTTACAATAGGTTCACTAGCTACAGTTTCTTAAAGCAGGAGAAACTTATCGGGAAACTTTAAAAAATGATTTTAAAATAGAGAGCTCCTATGTTATAATCCTATTTAGAGTACTGAACCTTTAACCAATAGTATTTCCTGGCCAAATCGTGCATGTCTGGTTACTGGATTATAAGATTAGAGAGTCATAGGGTCTTAGATTTAGAGACAGGAGAGACCTTAGAAGTCACCAAAAGGTCAACTCTGCAGTCCTCGTGCTCTCTGAACATGGATATCTTTCTACCTCAAATAACGGCCATCAGAGGGATGGCTGACATATCTGTATCTGCCATCTGTATTTGTTATTAACAAAACAAGTAGGCATCGAACTGGAAATTGAGCCATGCCACTACAAAATAACATCAAAAGAGAAGTATTTTCCCCATATGTACAAAACACTGACCCTTCTGAAAATACTATAAAACCTCATTAAGTTCGACTCTACTAAATTCATCAGATGCTGAGCTAAATTTCTGCTTTATTCAGGTGGAAATGGGTTACTAAGAAAGTGAAGAAGATAGCTCTTACTGGTCCTTCTAGACCTTGGTCTATCTCCCTTCCAATCCATCCTTTGCACCACCTAATTAAAATCCCAAATGTATTTCTGCAATCACATTACTCTTTTATTAAAAAATCTTTAGTAGTTCCTCATTGCCTACTGAATTGACTTCTGCTGTGAATTTTTGATCCTAGCAGTCAGTGACCCCGCACAACCTGGCTTCAAATTGTTTTTCTAGTTCTACCTTACTACCCTCCCCCTTCCCTTGAAATGTTCCACCTAAATTAGACTAAGTCTTCCATTCTCACGCTGTCTATTCCTATCCCCATATATTTTCTCATGCCATAATCTGTGCTTGGAAAGACTAGCTCCATCTCTACCTACTGTAATGCCTCTGTTTCCTTAAAACCCATCTCAGGTCCCATTTTATACAGGAAACCCCTGACTCTGAGCTAAACCCAGTCTCTCTCTCCTTAAATTTCTCACAGCACTTTACCTAGAGTACTCTATTGTACTTAAGATGAAGAGACCTGAGTTTGAATCTTGGCTTGTTGTTTACTAGCTATTTGATGCTAATCTCTCAGAGCCTCAGTTTCTTCCACTATAAAATGAAGATGATGATAATGTCACCATCCACCTCTCTGGCTTGTTGTGAGGAATAAATGAGACTAAGTGAAGCACTTTTGCAGACCTTAAAGTACTTCATCAGTGCCAGTTGTCATGTTAATAACATTCTCCCTTGTATTACAATTATCTGTAAAATAGTCCCTTCCCCATCAGATTACAAAGCTCCTTGAGAACAGGGTTGGTGTCAAATCTATCTTTGCATCCCTAGCCCTGGCCCAATTTCTTACACATAGAAATTATACTTCAAGGATCTGTGTTCAAGTCTTTAGCTTTGCCACTTACTACTCTATGTGACCTTGGGGAAATCATGTCACCTTTCTGAGTATCTGTTCCATTATTTGTAAAAAAAAAATAAATAAATAAGTAGCTAAAATAAAAAGGGGCTTGTAGGAGGATCCATGATTGCTTTGGTGTGGGCAATTCCTCTGTGGATGAGGATAATGTCTCCGCCATGCCTCCTTAGTAGATGAATTTCAAGAGATGCTGCGGCCAAAAAGGTAATTTCATAGAATCATGGAATTCGGAAGAGACCTCAGCGGTTATACATGAAATGATTTCTTACTATCGAGTGGCATCCAGCAGCTCCTCCAATGAGGAGGAGCCCACCATCTCTCGACGAAGCCCATTCCACTTTAGGACCCCTCTAACTCTTGGGGATATTTTCCTGACACAGTCCAAATTTTCTTCTTTGTGTCTTCTGCCTCTTGCTCCTGGTTCTGCTCTTTGGGCCCAAATGAAGCAAGGTCTAGTCCCTTCTCTACATGACAGTCCTTTACAGCCCTTCAAATACTAGAAGACAGCTATCATGTCATCCCTAGTGGGAGAGGAGGGAAAGGAATAAATATTCATATAGAGCTTGATACCATACTAAGCGTGTTACAGATATTATCTCATTTGATCCTCACGACAACGCTGGGAGGTAGGTACTGTTATCCCCATTTTATAGTCGAGGAAACTGAGGCAAACAGAAGTTGAGAGGTAGGGACTGTTATTATCCCCATTTTATAGTTGAGG